CTACATTTTCATTTCACATCTTTTGGCTATATACCAAGCAGCAAGATTGCTAGGTCACATGATAGTTCTATTTTTGTTCTTTGAGGAATCTCCTTATTGTTTTCATAGCCAGTATGAATACTGGCTATACTAATTTGCTATCCCTCTAACAATGTACATAAATTCCCTTTTCTCCATATCCTCACCAAAACTTATCTTTCATCTTTTGGATAATGGTCAGATGTGAGGTGATATTTCATTTGTGGTTTTTATTTGTATTTCCCTGATAATTAGTAAGCTTTCCCCCCCGTATACTTTATGATCATTTATATATCTTCTTTTTCCCATTAGAAAAACAGGGTCAAAGTATATTGCATTGGGGAGATGTCTATGTTAGTTTTCCATTGCTGTGACCAAAATACCCAACAAGGACAACTTAGGGGAGATAAAGTTTATTTTGACTCACAGTTTCAGAGGTTCAGTCTATGTTTGGCTGACTCCATTACTTTGGACCTAAGTAGAGACAGAACATCATGGTGGAAGGGTGTGCTAGAAGAATACTTCTTGGAATGAGAGAGAGGGAGGTAGGGGAGAAAGGTGGAGGGATGGGGCCACAGGGAAAATACACCCTGGCAGGGCATGCCCCCAGTGGCCCACCTCCTCCAGCCACAACCCCATCTATGGGGATATCTTTTACTTTGTGGGGACATCTCATATCCAAGCCATATTACAATGCCAAAGTTAGGTAGGTTAGCAGTCCTCTTCCCAAGTGATTTGGGATTCACAGAAGAGTTTTAGTTTTTATAAAGAACTAAAGAGTTTTATGGGCTGAATTTTGTTCTCCAAAATTCATATGTGGAGTCTGAACCCCTAGTACCTAAGTATGTGATTGCATTTGAAGGTAGGATCTTTAAAGGGGTCATTTTAAATAAAAAGAAGTCATTAGGGTGGTCATAAAGGTGGGCCCTTTTGGTTGGTGTCCTTACAAGAAGAGATTAGGACACTCACACACACACAGAGAAGAGTGTGTGAAGACAGAGGGAGAATATGGTCTTTCATAAGCCAATAAAAAAGACCACAGGGGAAAAAAAAAACAACCCTGCTGACACCTCAGCTTTAGACTTCTAGCCTTTAATCGTGAGAAAATAAATTTCTGTTGTTTAAGCTACCCTGTAGCTGTTTGTTATGAAAGACCTAGCAAATCATACATGTGTCTCTAAAACCAGGGTCAATCTGGGTCTCAGTCAATTCAAATCAGACAGGGCCCAGGCCATGAAGACCAAGTATTAGGTCATACAGCTCAGAAAGCCGCCAGAACTGCCAGGACTATCTGGTTAATGATCTTAGCCAAAAATGAGTTCCAAACTCTATCCACTGTAGGAATGGGGCTTCTAATGTTTTTTGAAATGTGATTCTCCTTGATTCAACGATGGGGCAGAACAGAGCTACAGGTGGAAATCTTTAATTCTGATGCTGAGCAGAGTCAGATATAAGCAGAGGTTGACTGACCATCTCAACAAGCTAATTAGCTGCATATTAAAAATTTGCCAGTAAATGTTGGAGTTGTAGAATATCATGCTAAGTGAAATAAGCCAATCCCACAAAATCAAAGGCCAAATGTTTTCTCTAATATGCAGATGCTAATTCACAATAAGGTAGGGGGCACTAGGGAAGAATAGCATTACCTTAGATGAGGTAGAGGGAAGTGATGGGAAGGGAGGGGAGGGGATGTGAGGATAGAAAAGATAGTAGAATGAAACAGACATTAGTACTGTATGTATATATGTGACTCCATGACCAATATGATTCTGCAACACGTACACTCAGAAAAATGAGAAATTATATCCCATCTATGCATGATATAGTAAAGTGCATAAATGTATTCTACTGTCAAGAATAACTAATTAAAATAAATAAAAAAATTAAAAAAAATAATGAGGAATGCTGATCCAGTAAGAATTGATAGACAAGATATTTGTTTCTGTTTGCACATTCCTTGGGTATTAGATCAAGGAAGACATTTGTGTGACACTGTGTGTGTGTGTGTGTGTGTGTGTGTGTGTTTAATATCCAATCTACACAATGAATACTTCAGTTCTTTTCCTTCACATGCTATACTATGATTGGACCACTATCATTGCTTCTATGGGTTACTGCAACTTCCTCCTTCTGTCTTACTGGTCTTTCTTTCTCCCTGGCCTCCAGAAGTGAGGAATAAGGGCAGATTATTTTAGGTATGAATAGGCACATTGTCACGATTTTCCCATTTGCATGCATATATTTGCCAAAGAAAGAAATCACCTAGAAATTATCTTGAGTCCTTGTCCTAGTCTCTTAAGTCCAATTCTTTCTTCGCAATTACTCTCACTTTCATCTTTTCCTTTTCCATTTCTACATTTCCTAGTACTTTTCAGATCCTCCTGAACTCAGAAATAGCCTTACTTTTCTGCTTAGCTCTTCTCTTTCTCCTCAATACCTAAATTCATCCTACATAAAACTTTTTATAAAACATGTCTATAAAATTTTGACCACAGTGCTTTTTTCCTATTTGTTAAATTTCAATAGCTCTAGACTGTCTGTAGCAACAAGTTCCAACACTCCTGAGCCTAATGTTTAAGGCTATGAGAATCTGGCCTGTGCTAGCATAACCTTATTTACAACTGCTCTAGCATTCCAGAAATCTTACAATGAATTGAAGTGGTGTCCTGTATTACCTTCCACAAGCCTGCCACCCAGCCCTCTGTCTCCCACGCTAATGCTTTAGCTGGTATGGTGTCATTCCTTAGCTTCCACCTCTTCCATGTTCCATCTGTCTTTCAAGACCAACTCAAAACCCAGATGCATTTGTTCTAGTTTTTCTACCACTATGATGTGCCTTCTCCTCTGCCTTTCCATGCTATCCATCTTTTATGGCTAAGAATAATTTTAACTTAACTTTCAGATCTTTCCTAACCACCCTGGCCTTCAATCCTTCCTGAAAGGCTATCATGGGGCCATTAGGTGCCAAACAGTGTCTGAGCCCTAGGGATCATAGCTAGATGATGTACAATTTGTAATGTCCAGGATGGTGTACTTCCTCTCTAAACTCCTCTCTAAACTCACTGCCCAAAGAATTGTCTTCCAATAATGGGATGTGTTAGAATTTTTTGTTTCTGTTTTGAACTGTCAATTATATTTCTAGAATTTTCCTTTAAAAAATGACTTGTCTCCCTTAGTTAGATTGTAAAGATTCTGTCACCCAAGCAAAGTATTTGCTATTTATACAAGAATGGAGAGGCATTTATGTACTAGGCATGAGGTCCTACTTTTGCCAGTGTTCCTCCTGGTGTAATATGTCAATTTTATGGGGCACACAAAACCCATAATTTTACAGGTATTATTGCTTAGGATAAGGTTAAAGTAGACACTGGCTATTTAGGTTTCTTGAAAAGTGAATTAATTTAAATTTAAAAAATTAAGTAATACTGTTTCAAGTTATAGTTTTGGAAAAAACTAAAAAGTGGTTCTTCAAGTGTGCTATATAAGAATGAACTTGCAAAGTAGAAAATAAAGCCCAGAAATACACTGGCTCTTACTCAAGTTACAAAACTTATAAGTCAGCATACAGGATTCAAGTGAAGGTACCAGGTTTCTCTAACTGAAACTCTTTAAATTTTCCCCTTTTACCATGTACCATGATACTCCTTTGCATAAAGATTAAGTTTAATTACTTCAATGTGTGACCTGTGTTTTTATATGGCTTCTCATCTCCTCTGTAAGATTTGCTTTTGTTTTTTAAATCCTTCACTACCAGAAAAATGAATGGGGCACTAGAGTGAATTTCGTGTGTCTCCAAGCACATTTATAAAACATAGAAGGAAAAAGACCCGATTTCCTGCCTGGCTGAGTGAAACGTTAATTCTTCACGTTGGCACCTCGACCTGCAGCTGTAATCAGGGCTGTTATGCCCAAATAGGCCCTTAAACGGAAGACCTGCTGAGCAGAGACCCACTTTCCCAGCCCCACTCAACTGCGTTGTCTTTTCTGCCAACTGACCAGGCGGAAGCAGCAGCAGGGGAGGAGGGACTGCAGGTAGGTGGGGAGGGGATCATTTTGAAAGCCCTAAATCCCTTGCAGGGAAGAAGCAGCTGCTCCTTGTTTTTCTAAACATCTGTCCCATCTGTGCTTGGCCTTACCTCACCGTTTGGTGGCTTGAGCTAGTTAAACGTGTATTTGACGAGGGATCACTTCTGAATGCTGGTTGGTGAGTCAAATAGGTCCAAGTGCTACTCAGAAAGTTTCTTTTATTGAAAAGAGGGGCAGTTGGGGCGCTTAAGGAGGATGGCTGTTTATTTTCTTCTCAAAAAACATACAGCTTTAAAGGACAGGGTCGTTATTTGGAACATCACCCAAAATGGACTGTATACCCTGGGGTTATTATTTCACAAAAGTTACTTCTAGAGCTCAGATTGTACTTACCGGCCCCGATTTGAAAGAGTAAAAATACTTGCACATCATATACCACTTTAATGGTAGGATGAGCTGTGCACACTGTGTGTGAGCTGCGTCTCACCGATGGTCTTCAACAGCGTACTGCTTGTAATTGGTTTGCTTGCTAATCCTGTGCTCTTGAGAATAAAGGCCTTATTTTTCTTCAGTTGTTTTTCCTTAGTACTCAGAACCAGAAGTGGGACCTGGCGAATATTAAATGGAGCTTTATGAATGAATGACAAAGAAAAATAAAGGGCGGATGTTTCATTTGGTTCTCTGAAGGAGAGTATGGAGACGGGGTCTCGGACTTTGACACAGCAGCGGAGGGAAATATAGTTCCAAAGTGCCAGATGCGGAACCACAAGCCTTCGCTACGTCTCCCAAAGCCAGGCTGCGCGGTGGGAGACAGTCCTCGCGGAAGCGCGCGCAGCCACGCCCCCTTCCCTCGTCAATGCCTCTGCAAGCTCCTTGAGCTCCAGGGACAGGTTTAGGGGCGGGGCCCGCGGGGCGCAGGCGCAATGCGCGACGGAAGTAGGAACTTGGGCAGGGTAAAGGATAGGAGCTTTGCCGGGCTTTGCGAAGGGCGCCGCGCTCCTCCTCTTACCGCGGGAAGCTGCGGCGGCGCACGTGCAAACGAGCCCAAGCCCCTCCCCCATCCCACCCCCGCCCCTGCCCTGAGCCTCCGGGAGGCTGCCTTCTGCGACCGCCGTGATGGCGCTCGACCCCGCAGGTACGGGGACGACCAGCGTGGTTTGCCGAGGGCCTGGGCTCGGGTCTCGCGCTGCGGGCCTGCGGGCGGGGCGCGGCCTGGGAAAGGTGCAGAGCTGAGGTTGCACCGCTTCCGCACACTTCCCCTCAGGCCTGGCCGGCTGCTACAGGGTTTCCTGCCGGCCCTGGCGTCTTCCCCTGGTTGTAGGTCATTCTCAAGTGTTAGGTGAGGCGCGTTCCGTTTGTTGTCTGAACTTTCGTCCTGTTGTGGCCTAGGAACATCTTGCCGAGGGGGACTGGTTTCCTCATCGCCATCCTCATTTTCGCCCCTTTGGGGGCACCTGCTTCTTGCAACAGTGTGTCTTGCAGACGGTCTTGCCACAGAAAAAAATTCATTGGAGTCCCAGCGCACACTTTTACATTTCTTTTTGGTAGTTCATGGATCCCAAGTTCATCCTTAAAGCCCAACTTAACAGTTCAAAGGCTTTATCCTTGTGGCCACAGTCATTTTCTTTGGAAAGGATCTTGAGTCTTGAGTGCTCCTTTACTTTCATCTTTCCTCCAACTTGTCAGTTTCTCTCAAATTTTTTCCCTTACAGTAAACCTCACCCAGTGTACTTTTTTAAAGGTTATTTATGTAAGGGTGTAGCTGAGGGACTTCTTGTCACTCCTTTCATTTTAGAGAAAAACACAAAGTATTGAGAGGTGGGATGCTTTCAAACTTTCGGAGATTCTGAAGTTGAAAAAAACAGTCCCTTTCATGGTCTCTCAAGGAGAATGAAAAATATGTGCAGGACACAAATGATAAAAGTTTGTTGAATATTTTATTATCAAGAAAAGTAGTCTCATTTATCCAAAAATAGTATCTCCATTTTACAGAATAGGAAAGTGAAGTTCAGAGAGGTTAAATTACTAGTCCAAGCGTAGTGGTAAGATCTGGTAAGAGAAAAAAGATTGCATAGATTCTGTGATTAGAGCAATAGAATTGGTGCAGGTGAAATCATGTGGTTAGAAAAAGGATGATGTAGTCAAGAAGATCTTTGAGATGGAGGATATTGAATTGAATTTTTAAATAAGTAAACTTTGATAATGAAAAAAAGAAGATGGAAAATAAAGACTCTTAATTGAGGCAGAAAGGAGTTCTTGAACACATAATGATCATACAGGGTTTGGGCTGGATGACATTGGTCTAAGATGTATCTAAAACAGGCCAACATGCTTTCATGGGCCTAAAATTATTGCACATGTTTTTCTTTTTCTAGAATTTTCTCTAGAATTTTCCCACTCTTCTTCTTCCCCAAATCTAATTCTGGTTCAGTTTTTGCTTGTCACTTTAGAGTCAATTTTGTAGGAGGCTTTTGCAAATTGTCACTGCTTCCCAGACTTTCAAAAATATATGTATTTTTTAGTATTTAGAATTATTTAAAACCCACCAAAAATTTACATAAACAGTGTACATTCTTTGTTTCATTCTAGATCTGAAGTTTTCCCTTGAGAAATAAAAGGAAACTGAGAGATACAATGGGTGTACATGTAACAAAAATAATTTGAGAAAGACAAACATGATTTGGAGAATCATGTGTAGTAAACAGTAAATATAGCTCATGTGATGTCACCTCTTTAAACTTATTAGGGAGTAGATGACTAGAAAGAGTAGACCTAGACTGCAGGAGATTGCCCGTTAAGGAGTCAATGCACTATTGTGGACTCAGTCCTAAATTTGTCTTTTTCTTTCAGATTTTTTCATTAACCAATTCGAAACTGTGTGGTAAAAGGTTTGAGGATGAGCAGTAGGGAGAGTAAGATACATTAGATATTTGTTAATGTTTCTTCAAGCCTTAAACTTTTATGATTCTGAATACTTGTTGGTGTCCATGGGTTCTTAACTCTGCGTAGTCAATTCACCACAGAAAAGAATATTTATTTGTTATTGGGTGAGTCAGTATCCTTATTTTTGTATAAGGTTGTTAATTTGTAGAAATCTGTTTACAGATGTCAAAAAGATGAGAAATATCAACTAGAACTTGATGCAGGTAACAATATTGTGCCCAATGAGAACACTGTTGTCCAAGTTAACCTTCTTCTCTGTGGGAACCCCCTATTATATTTTCACATTTTAAATAGAGAGATTGATGGGCAATATTTTTAAGACCTCCTGGCATTGTGCTTTTGCTAAAGGATTATTACTGGGAGATTTTTAAAGATTAAAAGGTATGTTAATTATCTAAGAATGAGTAATTGAGAGTAGAGAATTTCAGATGTTTTTTTCTGCTAAATAAGGACGCTTACCTATATTTACTCACTATTGTATATGTAATCTCTGACTTAGTATTTGTTATATAATAGGTTCCTAGTGTTTGTTGGTAGAATAAATATCTGTGACTATCAAATATTGAAATTCTCTTAAATATTCATGCTATTTGTTAAACAGTTAAATGGTTTTATTGCACATTTACCATGTGCTAGGAGCTAGAGGGGTGTTCTTACTCTTCTGGAGGCTAGGAAGTTGATTAACAAGGTGACACTTGGGTTGGTTACTGGTGAGGACTCTTTCTTAGCTTGAAGATGGTTGCCTTTTTTCTGTATCATCTTGCAGTTGGGCTACGGGGGTTCTTTTATAAAGTTACCAATCCTCTTGGGTTAGGGCCCCACCCTCATGACCTCATTTAATCATAACCCATAATATATATTATCCTTTGTATAAGACATAAAAATTTAAGTTGAGCAATTTCTTAAGTGTCAATTCTATAGGACAACTATACAATTTTATAGGTGCCTTATATATAGGGATGCTGGGACAATGGGCTAATTACCTCCTTAAAGCACTATCTAAAAATATAGTCACTTGTGGGCTATGGCTTCAACATTTGAACTTTGAGGAGCAGTGGAAGAAAACAATTCAGTCAATACCAGTTATCTAGCAGGAGAAAAAAGATTGCATAGATTCTGTGATTAGAGCAATAGAATTGGTGCAGGTGAAATCATGTGTTTAGAAAAGGATGATGTAGTCAAGAAGATCTTTGAGATGGAGAATATTGAGTTGAATTTTTAAATAAGTAAACTGTATTAATGAAAAAAAGAAGATGGAAAATAAAGACAGAAGATTGAACTGGAGTTTGGTTTTACAAGTTATTTGCTGGGTAATGTTAATGAGATTGTTTTGAGCTCATTTCTTCATATCTGCTTCTGAATGAAATGCTATTTGTAAATAATTTCTTCCACTCCTTTCTTTTTTTTTTTTATTTTTTGGTACCAGAGATTAAACTCAGGGGCACTCAACCACTGAGCCACATCCCCAGCCCTGTTTTGTATTTTATTTAGAAACAGGGTCTCACTGAGTTGTTTAGCTTCTCACTTTTGCTGAGGCTGGCTTTAAACTCACAATGATCCTCCTGCCTCAGCTTCCCAAGCTGCTGGGTACAGGCATGTGCCACTATACCCAGCTCCACTCCTTTCTTCTTTCTGGAAATGTTTATTGTGCTCCTTCCGCAATCATAAATGTAAGCTGATTGGTCAGCTAAGTAGGATAACTAATGGGATGGCAAAATTCAGGTTTCAATTATAGAAAATTTAAGTTAAAACCAGGATACTGAGTAATATTCCATTGAGTATATATACCACATTTTCTTTATCCATTCATCTATTGAAGGACACCTAGATTGATTCCATAGTTTAGCTATAGTGAATTGAGCTGCTATAAACATTAATGTGGCTGCATTACTGTAGTATGCTTATTTTAAGCCCTTTGGGTATAAACCGAGGAGTGGGATAGCTAGTAAATGGATGGAGTTGGAGAATATGATGCTAAGTGAAATAAGTAAATCCCATAAAACCAAAGGCCTAATGTTTTCTATAATATGTGGATGCTAATTCACAATAAGACAATGACACTAGAGAAGAATAGCATTACCTTAGATTAGGTAGAGGGAAGGGAGAGGAGGAGAAGAGATGTGGGGAAAGAGTAGAATGAAACAGATATTATTATTGTGTGTATATATGTGACTACATGACCAATATTAGTCTGCAACATGTACACTCAGAAAAATTAGAAATTATATCCCATCTGTGTATGATATATCAAAGTGCATAAATGCATTGTATATTTTAATGTATAACTCATTAAAACAAATAAAAAATTAATTTAAAAAATTTAAAAAATTGACTACATGAAAAAAATTGAGATGCTGGTAGGATTTGGAAATTACTAACACTGTGACAGTAGTACAGTTATAAAGATGGAGGTGAGTACTGAGAACTCTACAGGAACACCATCTTTGAAGCTGGAATCTGTGGGATCACCTCAAGAGTAAGTGCAGTTAATTACCTTGGCAGCCTCTATATTTTTTCTAGTATTGCCATTGTTCAGTATTTGTAAGTCTGTTTTAAAATGTGCCTTCCACCTCTATGTTAATGTTAATGTCTTCATTTTTGCAAATCTTGTTCTGAAAGTGAATTTAAATTTCAGTCAAAGTTTAGCCAGAGATAAGCCGATGGAGGTGGTCAGTGATCATCCTGGGAAATGTTACCTCTGCTCTCTCCACCAAAAAAAAAAAATTATGGATCTGATCTGGTTTGCATGTTTGAGTGAATTGATTCTGAAGGCCATATTAAGAAACATGGTCTGATTTGAGCAAACGCTACATTTTTTTAATTATGTGAATAGCTCTCAATATAAAAAGTCCTGCACCTCATTATCAAAGTAGTATATGTTCTTTGTAGAAATTTTATGAAATATTGTAAGATAAGAAAAACCAGTGGAGATAGGGAGGAGATAAGCATTGGAGAACATTTATAAAGTTTAAAATGTTCTGCTATCTTCTAGATGTATATGAGAGAAAAAAAACCAAGTCAGGTAATACAATGCAAAGTAGGCCACAGGCAAACTGTCTTGTGTTCTTCTATTAAATGTCTTCTTCTGTTCCCTATAACATTGATGTTTTTTTTCTTTATTAGATATCAGTGGAAAATTATACTTTTTGGAAAACATAGTTTCAAAGTTTTACCAAATAAAGTAAATGAAAC